TGGAGGGAAACCCCCAGCCGTGCTACTATAGTCTCAGACTCACACAGCACGTTAAAAGGAATAATAATAATAATAATAATAACAAACTAATCAACTACTTAAGTACTTGGCGCCAAGTATTTAAGTTGTGTTGAGGAGGCTTTTTGAGCAGGTGCTACTACCCCAGCGTATTAAATTCGAGTAGTTGAGTTGAGTAGTAGCACCTAATCAACTTAACTCGAGTAGTGAAAATCGCTATTCCACTCAATTCGCCAAGTACTCGATTAACTCATGAGTTACTCGAGTAGTGTCGGCCAGATGCCCCGTAGCACGTCCGACTCGCTATCCCGACTCCAGGCGGCCGGCGCTAGTGAGTCCGCGTTGCTGAGTGCCCCTGTATTTGGCATATGCTATTTGAGGACAAGTTTCTTATATTATAGTCACGTTATCTATAACTACTTGAGTACTATTCGAATAGTCGAATCCACCACGCAACTCAACTCAACGGAATCACCTAATCATACTCATTTAACTCAACTTGAGTACTACTGGAGTAGAATTGAGTATTTGATTAGTTTTGTTAATACGCTGGCCGCTCGCTTAAAGTCATCCAAGATTGAAGACTCCATACCACTTTAATCAGCTTCTTTGTTATCATGACCTGTTTCTATTTTCTTTTGAGGAAAATAAACAACAGAGTCTCATTTCATGATAGTGTTCAACGAGAACAAAGATATGCCTATTACTCAATATTTCTTTGATGATTCTTCTTGAACAGCGAAAACGGCCTGTTATATCTCTCTCTCGCTACGATACTTCAATTCAGCGCTTACACAACAAGTTTTTATCAACCAGTGAACTATATTCGAAAACGAGCAGCCATCTTACAGTACAAAATGCCACCACGCTTTGATCGATTTGGATATGGTGGTCTGTTTGGAGGCTCTGGTGAGGGAGGTGGCGACCCTCCGAGACGTAAATTCAATGTGAATCCTGGAGCCGCCGTACCAGAACGTCAGCCTCGCCCTTATGAAAAGAAGGCTCCAGAGGGCAAAAAAAAATTCAATGTGAACCCTCGCGGTTATGGAGCCAAGCCTTCCAATCCTCCTCGTCCACCCTTAACTCGTGGCGTTAGCCAACAGGGCGATAACAAATGCACGCCTAAATACTGCAGAAGAAACCAGTCCGACCAAGCTTTTTTTGGAGAGAAGATCATAGCAAAAGGTTCTGCTAAAGGAGCGAGATTGGGACGTTATACAGATGGAACTCGAAAAGACCAAAAATGTATTGGGAAGGGGTTCTTGGCAGGCAACAAGAAACCCGGCAGTCGACAATTGAAGGAAGAGATTAACATATTGAATATAGCTCAGATACTCATCGACGGGTTCAACGACGAACGCGTGATTCCTTACAAAGTTCTTCTGAATCGATTTGAAATCTGGGACGCCCGAATCGCCAAAGGCGGGTTCCAGGCCAGCTCGAGTGATCTTCGTAGGGACGGCGACTTCTTAATGATGGTCGAACCTTTCATCGAAAATTACGAAAAGTGGATGACGAACTTGGATGCCCCAAAGCCGAAAGGTAACAAATATGACGCTATACAAGCGTTGTCTCATTGGTCTTATCATGCAACAGATGGCCAGTATATGATATGTGACCTGCAGGGGGGGATTGTCGAGAGAGACAAATATGGACGGAAACAAGAAACGACTTGGTATATATCTGACCCGGTTATAATGACTCGTAGGAGTGGCGGGTTAGGAGGTTTCGACTTTGGAACTGAGGGTATGATTAAGTTCCTAGGCGCCGATCATGTATGTACCCGATTTTGTAACCCTAATTGGAAAAAACCTTATAAACAAGGGGGGAGGTGGTACGCTTAGGCAATGACCATATTCAAAAACCGGTCTGGAACGTGTCTAGATAAAATATTGGAGGCGGTGTTTGTAAAATTAGTTAAGTCAAATGAGAATAGGTAGAACATAGATCAATGAAGTGCCATTTTAGTACAGCCAAAGGCTAGAACATGTGATAAATGTAAGATGCAGGTGTTGCAGGATATTTGATATTCACTCACTACCCACTAGCACCCGCGTCATTCCAGGGTGATTCAATAACCACCTATACCTTACTTTATAAAATGAAGAGTTCTCCCCTTTCTATCGAACAACATGAGAGAGTTGCGAAGCGCTAGCATTATTGATTTACATGATCAGAGAAACGCTTAGCTATAAGCAATCGGCCCACAGCTCTAGTTCAAACTGATTCTCCATTGACCAGTAGACAAGAGGTGTCGTCGTTGCTCTGGTCAACCCCACAATTCAAGATACTATCACTCAAAGAGCCTCGTACAACCAACTAAACTAGCTCTGGGAATAATTCGAAGCAATTAGTGCTTTTCTTGTTTCCCTAGGCATATTAGGACAATTTAGATATTGATCCTGGATTCTAAGCGGAGTAACTCCTGGGAACTCGGAAGCGGACATTGTCGTATTACACGAACAGTGGCTAAATCGAGGATAAAAAGTAGGGGATCCTAGGGATACACACGCATTACACTTCAACATCCTTCTCGCTAAGCGCGTTGCCGGCTCCTATTACCTATATAACTAACTTTTAGAAAAGTTCTACAAGAGTTTAAGCTACCCGAGCTACAAGCTGAGCGTTTTTCATAGTGTGTGGGGAGAAAATATAAAGTGGTCCGTAGAGTGGGTGGGATCAAGAGTGTATTCAGAGGTATAGAAAGTATCCAGCAAAGTCCTAGACACTAAATATTCCATAAGCTAATCCAAAAGCATATGATGTATACCTGCTATTCTCTCAGGGTAATGAGGAGCTCCCTCATCCTGATCCTTGTAGCCACATGCAGAATCGTGCCACTTACAGTTGTGTTACACTCAGATTCCGAAGTATCGACCATCCATTCTGTCTATCATAGCCTGAGATGGCTAAGACTCCGTAAGATCCTCCTGTTAGTGATACCGAGAAGTCCACGATAGTATTTTGAGAATGTAGAATTGCCACCTATAGCGTATACCAAGGCATTAACAAAAGATCATTCAATCCTATAAATCGTTACGATTTATTAACCTAGTGAGTTAACGGGAGGTTCAATGAACTTTGTTTTGTGACATGACTTGTTTTCGTTGGAGTTTGTTTTCGCCCCTTGAGGCTGACTATCCTCGCTTAGAAAAGGAAGTAAATCACGAGAAAGTCAGATACTCAGCTGACCTACCGACTCTAAGAAGGTTACTAGTACGCCGTTGAATATATGTATTCTTGATAGTTGTGTTTTATAATTACTGTTCTGTGATGTTCTTGATTCTGCTGGCTTATTGCCAACGAGGATGGTTCCACAAAAACCCATTAATTGGATCAACATAACCATTCTCCGCACCAATTAGAATGGCACATCTACCACTAAACACTATATCCCTCCTGAACTGTATGTGAACACACTATGTATGTATTTGGAACTTTCTATGCACACTCAAGTACTGCTATGGTTATTTCTTTGAAAAGTTTGAAGCTGCTCAAATACTGGTCCGTTGTTCTAGTAAATAGAGTTACATGATGAGGTATAGAACGATAAGGTTTAGTATGACAAGACGATTTTAATAGTATGAGATAGTTATACCTTGTGCCAGCCACCTGACGAATTCTAGAATCTGAAGACAATCTGGAACATGATGTTTCAGAATCTTATGAATGCTGCTTCCGAATATTCTGGACTCTTCTGTAAGGTTATACCATCACCTATAAACCAGTCACACAGCGAGAAATAGCCAAAGCCACCACAATGAGACTTCAGACGCAAACTCCCCAGAAATGTTTAGCAGGACAAGTCAAAGCTATCATTGAAGGAGAGAGAGTTTCAGATAGTATGATTTCAGAGAGTGTAAAGTTTCAAGCAGTGATTCAGTAGAGAATGTGCATAGTACAGCTGGGATGTGTCCACCATGAGAACACCTTTCAATAGCTACTCATGAAGGGGGAGATCTACCTGCGACAATGTTCGCTAAAGTCAACGCTTGTCCAGATGTGAGTTGTGAGGAGAATCGCCGCGTCAAGACTATCTGCAATGATCTATTCGTAAAACTGTAGAAGTAATCTTGGCGATGATCTACTTCTCAACTGTCTCTTCTTGAACGTCAATTCCCATGATTACGTTTCCTGATACGCAGTTCGTCATTACTGGGCATCAACAAAAGGTGGATTGTTCATAATAAGCCTCTCTACACGACTCAGCTCGTTCTTCTCCTGTTTCATTAGCCAACTCTTATGGCAAGTTTGTCACTGTTAACGTTTTCTGCTCCAGGTATTTCCGCTCTTTACTCAAATAAGCAAGCCTGTGGCCATCTGAATCCAGTTCCTGTTGTCCTTGCTCCCTCAAAAAGTTGACGCTGTCGACAACTTCCAATAAATCCAATCGCAAGTCAAGTATTGGTAGTGGTGGCTTCTTCACCGTCGGATTTGTTCAGCGCTGGACATCGTGGCTTTCCCAATACAATTTCCCCAGGACGTTGTTTTTCCCATCATTATGATTCATCTCCTTGGCTCCACACGGGCAAATTTCAGGCTCTCAGGAACAAAAATTTCTGCTCTTGTTGATTCCTGTTGATGCTGAGTTACGTGAGCATCCTGGTGTGGCGTCCGCCGAACGAGGAAATCTTTTCTCATATCAGAGTTCCTGACAAATGGTACGGAGTACTTGCCCTCAGCTTTCATCGCACGTCCCTGGGATATTTTGGTTCTCGTGCCAAGTTTGTGGGAATTTCCAGTCTTGCCCTTGACAGTGAAGGGTCTTTGAGTTTACCAATCGAAGATAGATATCCGAAACTGTACTTTTTATGCGGAGATGATTGGTACGGGCGATGACATTTCTTTCCCGCGGATCCTGCCGAGCAAGTTGCCATTGGTGAAGGAGGGGCAAGCATGGTTACAGGCATGACAGGCCGAATTGTTAGTTTTCCCGGGCACGCACCCCAATCATTTCATACTCCGTAACATTTCAGCATGTCAGACCCAGACCCAACTTTCCCATGGTTCACATTGTATTATTTGCAGTGATGAGGAGGGGCAGCAACAGCTCATCAGGAAGCAGCGGACAATTTGCCGAGGAAATCAATATACACGGTAAACAGGTGGACGATTGTCTCTTGTATCGAACCAGATTGCCATTCGAAAATTGGGACCACGAAAGAGGCCTTGCCGTAAGGTTAACCTTAAAGCAGCTCATAATGACACAATCCAAGTGCTGCATTCAAAGCTTTTGCTTCAGAAACGTGATTAACAGTTCCCGCCGGCGGTGGCGTGGCATGGCATTCCTTGCGGAGAATTTGCGTAACGATGAGCCCGGTAACTGCATCTATATCAACATGCCATATGCCATTTACAAGCCGTGAAGAAGGTCTTCCTGTACGGAGTAAGTACTTTGTAGATCAGATCTTTGTGGGGACGGTTCTTTGCAGCATAGCGGGTTAGGCTTTATGCTCGAGTACGGAGTACCTCGACCCGAACTTCAGGTACAGTATTACTGGAGTACGGAGAATCCGCTTCGTATTCGTACTAGGCAAATTTTTTATCACCTTAGAAGTGCAGTACTGTACTTGAGTAGAGGTTCGCGCTCTTCGAACCTTCCAACGTTGACTTTTGACAGTTGGCAGTTGACAGTGTTGACAGCTGTGTTAAGCTTCGCTCTATAGTAAGATTAACCCTGTTGGGAGTCTGGACGGCGATCAAGGTTAGAGATGGTTCCAGTTCCCGGGCTCTGTTCTTGCTGAGTGCTGTACGGAGTACTGAGACTGACCGAGACTGAGTACAAAGTGCATTACTTAGTAATAGGTAACCAGTATTCTGTATGGAGGATTGTTGCTATTGTATTTTCCCACCAGTCAATCATGCCCGTCACTCATGCCCGCAACTCATGCCTGAGATGCAATTCCCAAAGAATTAGACATGTCCGGTCAAGCTTCTTGGATTTTCCCTTTCATTCCTGCCTCGGATGCATAGCCGAAGCCCTAATTCTCGCCTCCGAAAAACAATTGATGCGATGAGAGACCGACACCATCGAACACCGTGGAACACCAATGCTCCACTGCATCCAAGCTGGCTACCCTTGAAAGTCTGGTGGTCACGATAAGGTCCCATTGTCCCAAGATTCCCAACCCATTGTTGCCCTGCTCAAATCAACGATCATATTCTGGGGTGACCCTGACTGTCCAAGCGTAATAATGACCGTGCGGCCCAGAGTTCTCGAGATCTCCATGCATCTTAAGAGCTCAGGACCATGTTTATCCTGATCATTTCAATCGCTTACTCCAGCCGGTGAACCGAATACAACGCAGCAGGTATTAAGACGCGATCCTTCCCCTTCCCAAGCTTCCGTCCCTGTCCATTCTCCCCAACTCTCTTTCCCCACAACCTACAGGGTACGAAGAAATCAGATCAACGTCTCGCGTCTCACGACCTTTACTGACGAAGCTATCTTCTCACAATACCACGATGAGTGGCTTGACACATTGCTGAAAGATATCTGAATAGAGGGGGCTTCTTCTCCCAGAAGTGCTGGCTGGCTAGCTGCCAGCTCGTGTAGAGAATCATGGCAATGAACGTGACCGATGTCGATATTGAGGATCGTACTGAAGTATGAGAAGCCTTCCCAATTGCTACACATCTGTACCCCGTCATTGCTAATTCGCACTGTAGTCATATGCGTACCGAAAAACGATTATTATGGCCGTGGACGTGGGACTGGTATCGCTGGCGTCAGTGTAAGACATCTCTCCAGTTCAGAAGCAAACTACATCGTCAAGGCTAACACAATGCTAGCATTGTCCTTTTACGATTTTATACCCGCGTTTTTATTAGTAGATACTTTGGCCAGGATGATTGGTGGATGTTGTTATCTTGGGTGAGTATTTTGGGGTTATTTTCTCATTGGAGCAAGCTTGAGCTACTCCAAGACACACTTGTTAGATCAGAGGCTGACCATTTCAGATACTCGCATTAGGGAACTTGGCTATTTGGGTGCTATGTAGGTCATAGGACGACGGATTGGGAACAAAACTAACTATTTCATAGATCTGGATTTAGGTAGCTGGAAACGTAGGCAAGACATAATCCTGGATGATCTTAGACCGCTGTTTTTGGTGAGTCCCCAAAAAGGTGTTTTCTTTCGCCGCAGCAGACCCTAACCATCAACGCAGATTCTGTGGCTCATACAATGGTCTCTGTCTTTCGTGCATGGGACAATGAACATATCTGTTCTCACTTTCTACCTCCGAGTCTTCCAAGATCAATCGCTCCGATTCCGACGCCTAATACACGCCTCTATATTTTTCACAACAGCAGCATCTATTATCGTTATCTTTATCATTATTTTTCAGTGTGTACCAACCGATGCCTACTGGAATGGCGCACAAATTTTTGGGAATCCAAAATGCTTGAACAACGATTATTTGCTGTTCACACAGTCTGGGCTGATCTTGCTCTGTGATGTCGTACTTTTTATCCTACCGATGAAGTATATCTGGCGTATGTCCTGTGCACACTCTTGTTTGGCAATTGTTGAAAACTGATTGAATCGAAGAGCTCAACATCCCTAAATGGCAGAGAATACAAGTCATGGTTCTTGTTGGACTGGGTGGTTTGTAAGTGGCTCTACTTCGCCGTTTCTCAGCCAACTGCTAATTGAAATTCTCTCAGCACGTGCATAGCTTCTATTTGTCGTGTAGTTGCCCTACACAAACTTGCAAATTCGCGTGACCGAACTTGTAAACTCTTCTTAGAGCCCTGATCCTCTGCCCCAGCTAACCGAATTGCTAGATGACGGACTCGACTACTCGCTCTGGACCTCGATCGAACTCTTCGTTGCTTTAATCACTACTTGCTTGCCTCCATGTCGGCCGCTATTCTTGAAATATTGCTGCACCGGGAGAGGAAGGACTTGGGAATATACTTGGACCAGGACGACTACGCCAGACAATATCGAGCCAGCTTCTGGGACACATCTGAGCAAGGACGCCACCCCCTCTTCCAGCCGCAGAAGACTCAGCTCAAGATCAAGGGGAGCAACTACAATAGACGGGGAAGAGATGGGACCCATGGGGGGGATGGGGCCAATGGGAACAATGGGGGCAATGGGTGCAATGGGCGGTGCTACAGTCAGAATTGGGGCGATGGGACGAATCGAAAGAGTGTATAGCTATCAAAGCAGCACGAGGGGAAGCGAACACGAAGGCATCGGTCCCATGGGACGCGGAGGATAAGATCACGGCGACATCGAAACTTCAAGCATTTTCGATGAGGAAAGGGAATTGGGATTGGAACTAAACTTCTGATCTCTGAATTTCCCCCAGGAAGTGATGCATTTCGACCAACCGACATTGCATCAACTCTCCGCCTACCAACAAGCAGGCAAATGCACGAGCGAATCCATTCGAGGAGGACCAGTCTACGAATCGACGAGGACATATTTACCGACTCGTCGAAATTTCTGGGCTGCAGTACCACCAGCGCTTCACTGCCAGCTACAGTAGAGTATCCAACCTCCTTCGATCCAATACGCGTGGTCACGTCGCTCATTCTTCTGTCTTCTGCCAAGAAGATAAAGAGATCCCCATACAAGCACGTCGGCAGATGAGCGGTCATAGCGGGGTACGCCCAGATAGGAAGGCAAAGTCGCCGTGGAAAAAACAATCGAGCACAGATGCTTGGCCAATCAGTGGCACCGATACTTGTGTGATGATATTTACTATCCTTTCAGGTGCGGTAGCAGATACTCAGACACGACTCGTAAGGCTCTCACGTTTGAGTTAGCATGACGGATGTATTACGAGCAACCGTTTCTAGGAAACGGAGGTGATTGGATCTGATGCAAAGCTCTCACGGTTGATTTCCAAGAACGATGTATCGCGAGCAACCGTATCTAGGAAACTGGGGCATTGAATTTGAAAGCAACCAGCCATGGAGATCCCGTAGATAGAATAGAACAAGCAGAAGCAATGAGGACTCAAGATCTCCAAGGCTCGTATAACATGAATCATAGCATGATTCAGGCCAGCAGAGATGAAAGAAAAGAAGGGCCCTCCACAGAAGGCATCACCGAATCATACCAATCTCGTACAAACCCCCTCCAGAAATTCCAGTTCGTTCAGATCGTATTTCCGTATTGATCCCAGTGCCTCTTTATAGGGATGATGCTTGTAACCTTAAAAAAGTCAGACGAACTACCGGGGAGCTAACGCCCTATCCGGAACTTTAAATAGACATCCCGAATGGATTGGGGAGGGACGCGTTATAGCACAGTATGATATATCACACCGCCTTCGTTTGGGTGGCTTGTTACTTGAATTGGGGGTATATTGAACGCTAAACTAACGCACTTAATGTCCTTCCTTGCTCTTGCTAGAGCTTGTGTATGTACAGTACTCGTAATGTCAAATTTCATACACGACATCATCAAAGAAAATTCTCAAAGCTAAATCAAAACCCCACTTTCTGATAGCTGGAGTAAGCTCAAGTAAAGGATCTGAATAGCTTGGGTCCCCCCTTGTCAACTTGTGATAGGTATCCCCCTACGTGAATCGGACCAGCCAGGCTATCTTGCGGGGTTAAACCCTTAGTGTAAAAGGTCGTATGCAAGGGCGGGAGGAGTGGGGATACGTGAGCTGTCCAGACCATTTAGGAAAGGTAGGAGAACACCGGCAAACTCCCAATTCCAAATCCAAAAGAGGTAATTTGTCTCTCGCTTAAGCCAACCATGGTTTCACAACGACGCCCAACAAAACACGACGCCAATCATTAAACTAAAAGAAATGTTCAAAGCGTACTGTAGAAAACTTCACCTCCCCGGTTTTTTGGATCACCGTTTCTCAAAAATGTTCAATCTCTTCAATCAGCCTCGATCTGGGTTTCACATTCCGCTTCCGTTGTTTGACACGGTTTGCAGGCGACTCGTTTGAACTTCGTCGTCTCTTCCTTGTAGCTGGAGGTCTTGAGGGCCGCTGTTCATCGACCTTTCTTCTTTTCGATCTCTGCATAGTCATCGATGGGCTTATAGGAGCCTCTCTGACTCTCTCGTCGGCTTCTCTGGACTTCTTCGACGCAGAGCTTCGTCCTTCATCGGGCGTGTTCTTGTGCTTTTCCCGATCACTAAGGTATTTGACGTTCAAGTTCGGGGTTGGCTTTCCTCTTGTGCGACTCATAGGAGAAGGGTTTTCAGGCTCCTTGGTTTTGGAAGGTGGTGGGGAGGGAGCTGAGGACAGAGTACTGTCCTCCGATTCTGATGCCAAATCTGGTTCTGGTGAGGAACCAATCACTATGTACTCAGGTTCCGTACTGCGGTCTGGTGCTGAGAGGGATTCTGCGAGCTCTAGAGCACTAGCTGCCTTTGCAGTGAGATCTTGATCAACCGTTTCTTCGGGTACGTCTTCGTCCTGTTCTGCGACCGGAGATTGGTGGAAGGCTGGACAGGTTGCTTTTGAAGACTCCGCGTTGTTGTCGGTAGATTCTTGAGAATCGTGGTTACGCACTTGCTCCCTCTGACTGTCTTTCTGGTTTGGACCTTCCCTCACTGAACGACGAGCCTCCACTTCTGGTGCCCGATCGTCAACTTCTAGATTTGACGTTGACATAGACGGCTGCTGTCTTGGGATACTTCGTAGTTGCCATGAGTGCCAACTAAAAAAGAGTCAGTGAAAATTTGAGATAAACGGAACAAACCAAATTTAGATATTACTGGAGAAGTAAATCAATAGTTCCAATTGTGTTCAAACATTGATTTGTTTCTCCATAAGATTTGGAGAAATTAAATAGGGTGAATGAAGTTTGGAGATAAATAGTAGGTGTGATTATCTCATCTTCCTTCAATCAAATAATTTCTCCTAAATCATCTGGAGTAACTAAATCCATGGCATAAAAAACACAGATAACCGAGATTGCTTTTATTGGCTATCTGAAGCTCTTTTAGACAATTTGTCCAATCAGGGAGTTGGAAAAGGTAGCCTTTTAGTCATGAGCCTACTTACGGTTCTCTTGAAGTGCTGGCATGCACCTTTCTACCTCTCCGGCATCTGGTTTGGTTTATGTGACTGCGGACTGCCATTGCCGTCTTGTGTTTGGATCCGCAATAGATGCATCGTCGAGCGCACTCGCCAATAGCGATGATAACGTTATCATCTGGAACATCTCGTAGCTGATCCTTGTGGCATTCACATACAGGATAACGATGGGGCTGGGTTGGTGTTGCTTCGCGATATCCGCTTCGCTACCTCGCGTTTGGTCTCTTGATGGAGAATCCTCTTCTACCTCTTCCATAACCACAGAGGTAATGTACGCGTTATATAACCTCGGCATTGTCTTGGCTGCTGCATTTCTATCTTGACTTGCTTCAGCGAACGAAGGTGCTTCGTTTCTTCGACTCTCCATATTTATGCCCTCCTCGTGGTGAGGAGGTAAAGCAGGCTGCTCCTGATTGATATTGCTGCCTGGATCACTTGAAATGCCTCGGAATTGGGTCGATTGTTCTTGCGGCCGTGCTATGGTTCCCGACAGCTCAATATTCATGGGATTCTTCTCGCCATTGGATTCGGTAATTCTCTCCTGGCTGGGATCCAGGTCATCTTCATGGTTGGAATCATTGGCAACGGACGTCTCCATATTTCCACTAGCATTCAACGGTGGTCCTGCCTCAGCGTGGGATTCTTCTTCATTGAAAAATGTTCTTTTCCACAATTGAGCGTGGAGGTGTGAGACAGTTTTCACAAGTTGCTTATTCTGACCAGCAAGTTCGTCTTTGGTGATTGATCTTTCGTTCAGATTCTTGGTGGCCTCATTCAACAGTGCTTTCTGGCTCCAATACTCGGCAGAGAGCCGGTTGTTTCCTGTTTTCTGAGTTTCCAAGGCTCGGTTGAGATTTGCCCGTTTGTTTACTTTGATGGCAAGCTCAGAGGAAAGTTTGGCTGTTTTGGCTTTCTGAACTGCCAGACTCGAATTTATACTGTCTTTGTGGTTCGTGACTTAGGTCAGTTGACTGTTCCAAAACAATATATCTTTCTCCTGTTTGCTGACAATGGTAGAAAGTTCCGTAATTCTGGAGAAGACACTTCCAAGGCCTCTTTGACATAATCATACTTCTCTTGAAGCTCTCTGAACGAATTTGTTACCGTTTCGAGCTCAGACTCTCTGGTTGAAAGAGTAGCTGTGAAATTTGCATTACTCTCAATTTCCCTCTGAAGCTCAGGTACTGTGTCTCTCTCCTGGGCACTGTTGGAGTTCTCCCTCAACATTTGATCATCCCATCTCACCAGCGATGCAATGGTTTCATTTCGTGCTTCAACCTCTTTCTTAATGCTGTTCAACATAGCAACAACATCCTTGACTTTTGAACCATTAATACCTGGAATCTCAGTTTCCGTCAGGATGGATCTGGCTGTTTCCTGTACCGCGTTTACGACTTGTCTTGCAGATGCAACCTGCTTGTTGAACTTGTCGTTCCACTCTGCTATTTTCGCATCTTTTTCTGCCAGAAGAGCCACGGAGCTCTTGGATATCTGCGCTAACCTAGATATCATACTTCGAGTTACGTCTAGAGATTCGCGCCTTGCCGTCCGAGCAACTTCCTCATTTCTGATATCTTCAAGCCCAAGGGTAACCTTGTTTCCTGTGAAATCCACCTTTATGAGCTTGTTATCCCCAATTATATCTTTCAACATTTCGAAATTCGCTGAAGGCAGTCCAACTCTGGTGTCGCAGATATGGTGAGATAATCTTACTTCTCCTGCCTCTTTGTGCAACAGAAGAGAAATCTTACCACAAATTTCTAGCGCAGCAGACTTTATTTGCTCAAAGATCTTTTGTGTCTCTTGCGTGCCTTTGGTATTTGACAGTAAAGCTTGGGGGTTCTCTTGCAACTTTTGGAGCTTATTCTTCAAAGCAAGCAACTCAGATTGTATTTTTTCAAGCTCTAGCGATTTTGCGGCAAGACTCGAAACATACTCTTCTTTCTCTTTCGTAAAAGAATCTAGGAGTTTCTGATAAGCTGGGTCTGACTGAGACTGGCTGTCTTGTAAAAACTTCTCATGCTGTATTGTTAGTGCTTCCTTTTCTTTCTTTGCTTTATTTCTTACGCTTTCAAGTCCTGTTTCTAGAGCTCTTTCTTTTTCCGCACTGGCGTTCAATTCGTACTCAGCTCTGGCCTTCCGGAAACCAGACTGTTCTCGCTTTACCGCCAAGATTGCTGCCTCCTTCGCCTCATTTGCTTTCAAGAGTTTTTGTGTCCATATTTGTTCATACTCCGTCCACGACTTCACCAAATCGGAGTAATTTCTCTCTGCCCACTCAATTTGGTATTTATATGAGTCTAGTCGCTCCCTGAGATCCTCTTCCTTTTCCTTGGTTGCTTTTTCTTTGGCCTCCCAAATTTTATGGTCAAGATCATGTTCCCAGCCTTCGTCTTTCTCTTGAAGCAATATCTTGGTTTTGAGAATATTTGCAACTACTGCATCTTCTAAAGACTGCTGGTGTTCCAGGGCCATCTTTTCCATTTCACTTTTGGCATCAGCTTCAGCCTCTAGGCGTATTTCTAAGACTGATTTTTGAACAGCGGTCTCAGTCTCCGCCTTTGCTTGCATGACAGCCTGGAATATGGCTTTCTCACACTCCATTTTGGCCTTTGAGGCCTCTTGAGTCGCTTCCTCACTCTTCCCCTTTGCATCTTCCGCCTCTTCTGTGGCCTTCAAGGCTGCCGCTGCAAGTGCATCGATGTCATTTGTGTGTTTCTCTTTCAGAGAAGTCATAGCAATTACTTTCTTATCATGACGAGCCTTCCACCTTTGCCGACTTCGCTGGGCAACATTGAGAATGGAGATCTTTTTGGATTTCTCTTCGTTCTCAACCCTTGCCCTACCAAGTTCCTGCTCAAGCTCGCGGACCTTGGAAGAAAGGGTTGACACAGCATTGGCGACACTTCGTTCCGCGTCACCACGAGAAAGCTGCAGTTCGTTCTGAAGGCATTGAATCTTGTTTGTCATTTCTGTCTCGGCGCTGACACTTCTTGATTCTTTCTCACTCAACTCCTCTAACAGAACTTGTACCCTTCGAAGCGACAACTTTGTCTTGTCGTTCTCACCCTCTACCTTTCGGAAAGCAGCTAAAGTCTTTTGAGTTTCGGAAAGGCCCTCATTCTTGTTCTGCTCAAAGGATTCTTGAAGGGTTGAAAGCGCACTACTGGATTCTTGATTCTGGTTCTTTAATCTTTCTATCTCATCCTGTGCGGCTCGAATTGCGGTCGTATATTGATCCGCATCTCTTCGCTGTCTGCTTTTGTTGTTTTTCAATACTTCTCGCAGCATTGAACAATCAATTTCCAGCTTCTGACTTTTTTCCATCAGCTCCTCTTTCTCGACCTCAAGATTCCGAAGGGCGGCTGTGGACTCTTTTTTTTGTGCTTGCTACTCCTTATGATGAAGAGCCATAGCTCCATGTAAAGTAGAGATCTCGTCGTGAAGTATCTGAAGACTCTCATCCAATTTTTGATTTTTCTCCCTCGACGATTGCACAACCGCCTCAGATTCTACCCTTCCCCTCTCAGAGCCTCCCTCACTCCGCGACAAAGTTCCCCGCAAATTTAACAACTCATCTCCAAGTTTTCGGTTCTCTTCCTCTTTTCTTTGACTCTCCGCCTTGTATTCTCTTCCGAGCTGGTTAAGCTTGTTGAGCTTGGATTCAAATGTCTCGAGCTCTATCCGTCTTGCTTTGTGGAAAGCGGCGAGATTCTTTTCGAGAGTTTCATGGGATTTTTGAAGGCTTTGGTAGGATTCTTGGAGAGTGGCATATGTCTGGTTCTGTGATTGAAATATTTGACCAAATGCTTGTGCCAAACTTTGCTCGCTGGGTATTGTTAGGAATCCATTGGTTGGTGCTTGAGTTTTGGAACGCTTGGGAGTAGTTGTAGAGATTACGTCTGGGTTGTAATCGATGCAAGAATCTGTTGGATATTTGGAGTCACCTGGGCAAAGTCAGTTCTCATATATACGTACTATCTGTGGAAGAGGTGCATGAGGAACAGCGAGCCTTGGATCTGCACTTGTCCGACCCAGTAAAGTTTGGAATCCATCCCACAGATCGTTCACAGGAGTGTCAAAGACCGAGAGGTTGACAACCATCAAAATAAAACTGACCCCCAGCGCTTGTATCACAAGTCTCAGACGCAACTGAGGCCCCCATATCGCGAGACTGGGTGCCTTGAACGCTGTCTTTCGGTTTGGCCGTGGAGGGATCTCCATAATTTAGCTCATATTCCTGTTTCTACCAAGTCAGCTATTATTATTTAAGTTGCATGTTTTGAAGTATAGACAGGCCTACCTCCGAAGATGTCTGCCATTCGAGAAATTCTTGATAAGTATAACCTTCATACTCGAGCCACTGCCTGAAATCGACATCTTTGTCCGTAGGTAGTCGGCACCAGAGTATCCGGAAAGAATCAACAAGATGACCGAAGGATAATTAAGTCTGTGTTTCAAAGCTAAGTGTGAGATAACCGATGATATGTGGCAGTAAAGAAAACATACCATCATCGCTAAGAAACGCACGAACTTTGAATGCAGATGACCTTCCAAGGCAGCAGCTCAACGCTGGCCGGCCAAACAGGGCTCGATAAGAATCTAAGCAAACACAACTCTCTCCCAGAAAGTGAAGTTATACAGAAGAGGCAGCGGAGAGGAGTCAAGTTCCAGACGAGAATTTCAAATCAGCAAAGTTTTGGAACGAGATACCCCCTCTTCAGATGACTGATTGACAAGAGGGTCTTCGAGGAGGGCGGGGTGAGGTTGAGTTGGATTCATGTTAGACGCTGCCTGGGAGTGCAGGGGACTAGTCTAGATATGGATATTTCTGCTGCAAGTATCCTATCCTGGTCTCTTCCTGTTGATGACCGAGGGAGAGGACCAGCAGTTTTTGAGATTGCACTGAAAGTACATTTTTACAATAATTCTGAGAGTTGGCAAGACGCTCGAGACGCAAAGGTATGTTCGGCAAAGAAAACAAAATATAAAGTTTGGAGTCAGCGAATAAGAACCCGGTACGAGTAGGTACCAGTACCTAGTGAGATATCACCAAGCCACCCCTATCGCCTCACCAAGCGCTCCCCTTCTAAGCGACCCCGCGATTGCAGGCCCACCCAAGCCACTCTCCCAATCCCCGCCATTAACGACAACAAGCCAAAAAACGTTCAAGCACCACTCAAAACCCTCATACGAAACAGGAACAAGAAAAGAAAGCAAAGAAAACACCATCAATATGGCACCTCCAACCCCTCTCGCAATCGCAACCAGTTCCGTGAACCGACTCATCAAAGAAGAGGCTTCGTACCACAAGGAATTCTCGAGCCAAGAGGCGCGTCTCGCAAAGCTCCAGGATAGCACCGAGGAAGATGAGAATGCCGAGTATCAGTTGAAGCAAGAGGTATTGCCACCCAACTCGTCATATTCTGCATGGCATCAAGACTGATACTTTCGTAGCGCACAGCAATCGAAGAGACCCGCGCTGTCTTTCCGCCCCTCCGTCAACGCATCGAAGACGCTCTTGAGAAGCTAAAAGACCAGTTGGAGGCAGGACAAGCCAATGGTGCGAGTGAGGCCGAGATCACTGCTGCGACTGAGACGATAGAGAATGCCAAATTGGCTGTTAGCAAGAAATGAGAAGTTTGCATGCGTGCATGTGTGCATGTGGTGGACGAATAACGAAAATGATACACGGGGTGGAGATTTGAGATTTGAGAAATTAGAAAATTATACGGAGAGCACGAAAAGGTGACTTCGGTGGATGTGGGTATCATGCTTTTTTATGGTACAAAAATCGTACATCTATCATTCTCCTCCGTGTTGAAATTATGCAAGGTTCTTCTATGTGGTATCCATTTTTTCTTCCATCTCTCCCTCCTCAACACTTGGCTCATCAATGGTAACTCGAGGTGTCTCGTCTTCTGCCATTGGTGTACCTGGCGTGATATCCGCTTTTGATCCTGAGTCTGTCATGGTAGCATCCTCACCCATCGTTGAGTCTTCTCTACGGCGTTCCGAAGGAGCTGGTGAGCCGGCTCGACTCGTCGCCCTGCTACCAGCTTTCGAAAACGATCCAGATGGGAATGAGCGTGGCTTCAAAGTATTTCCAGGGCTGTTGGCGCTTGGCTCAGGCCCCGGAGTCGCATTACCACTGACACTCGCATGCTTCGGCGTTTCTCCTCCCATTGAAGCTTCCCCATTCTCTCCGTTTTCCCCAACTTCTCCATCCTCTTCAGCACCGTCCATGCCTTCTCTCCTCTCAACCTCTTCCTTCTCATCACGAATCAATCGTCGCAATTGCATTCCCTCCTCCACAATCCTTCCGAACTGCTCCCTTCTCTCCTTCCATGTTTCTGCATACGTCGCACTTTCCCTCTCCAACTCCTTACATTCCTCCTCCAATTTCTTCAAATTGATCTCCTGATCTGCTCTTGGCCGCAATAACTTATTATTCGTAATCTTCTCCGTCAACTCATCAAACTTCTTCCTTTGTTCCAACGACCTCTTTGCCTCCTCAAGCTGAACCTTCAATCCTACAGTACTATCCCTAACCTCCTGCGCTGTATCTAGAATGCGCTGTTTATCAGCTTTGTACCGTTCGCGTTCGCGCTCGTTACTGTTGTAGAGGAATTGTATGCGCGCCATGTTATCGTCAAAGGCTACGAAGTCGAGGATAAAATCTTCGCGCAACTGGCGACGATTATCTAGTTGTTTTTGAAGTTCGCTGTCTTGCAGAGCTGTGCCTTCGTCGGCGGTATCTGGGGGTGGAGTAGGGAGTTTGATTGGTGTCGCGAGAAGGGAGTGTGGACCTAGGAGACGACCTGTGATGCGCTTGAATGGTTTTTCTTGGACGTTTAGGAGACGCGTTCTATGGAGTTCGTCTTCTCTGGAGCTTCGGTGTTCCTCTTCGGGTTCGAGAGGTTGGAAGGAGGCCATTGCGACGTGACGTGGTGGAGGTTTGGGCGGTGGTAATTGTTTGCGAGGGATGGTTGTGCTGGCGATCGGAAGGAGGCTCGGCTTGATGGTGATCACAGCCTTGGGATTCAGCCCATCCCCCACTGGGCTGGACCGGACGGGTGCTTTTGTCGATTCACTAGTCTTCGTGACACCTTCTTTGTTTCTAGCTTCAACACTAATGGCAATCATACCTCATTATGGTCGACGTCCTATAAATTCGTCGAAATTCCTTGTATTTTTCCTCATATGATACTGCAACACTCCGACGGATCACGACACGCTTGACCTTCTCGACGTTACTGTACGTTCATTCTGACGAAAGCTGTACAAGGCTTATTTCAACTCTAAACGGTTATCTCTTTCTTCCAATACAATCCAATAATTCTTCAACATGCCAGCTCCGTCACTGGTCGAGTCCTGCACCAGGGCATGCATCAAGAACCTTCGCAGTTCGTACCATCCCATCATCACTCCCCCATCCCCCATCCTCACTTCTTACTAACTCCCACCCCCAGGTCTCACAGACATCGGCGACTTTGAATACTTCAAAATCCGCGACATCTTAAAATACCTCAGCTCCCCAGAACAACTCCACCAAATCGAAGTCAACTCCCCCCAAATCCGGGGCGAAGACGCCGAGCTCTGGCAAAAGTTCATCGCCCGCGACATCCCCAACTGGGAGAAGAAGAACTGGGCCCCGAAAGACGGATTGAAATGGTACGAAGTGTACCGCAAGTACAAGAAAGCGCAAGCGCAGGAAATCGCGCGCGACGAAGAGGTCCTTCGCAATGCAATGCAGGGACTGAAACAGCACAAGGAGACGCATGTGAGTAAGATTGTGGATGCGAGGACCTTGCCCAAGCTACCCAGGGACCCGAGGATGTTGGCGAATGGAGGCACACCTAGGAAGAAGGGGTTGAATCTTCAGAAGGCGCCGCCGAGTAGTTTGGTTTGGAGCGGGGGAAGTAAGACGAAGATGGTCGACTCGAAGGGGGTGTTTGCTAGAGCTAAAAGAGAAGCAAGAGAGATCAAAGCTATGGGAAAGTTATCGGTTCCGACACATCAGTTGGCTGGTAGTAGAAAGCAGATTGTTCAGGCGCCAGCGGGGATGGTTAATCAATATCGGACGGCTGCTCAACCGCCCATCAAGATTCTGGCTAAGAGGAAACATGCGAGTAGTACTTTCAGCGGAGGAATATCAGGTCCTTCGTTGGAAGACAGGGAGGCCAAGCTTCGGGCTCTGACTTCAGGTGGGAAGAAGGCTGCTCCGGTTTCGAGGACGATGGTTGACCCTGAAGACGACGACGATGATGACGATTTGTTGGCCAGTGGTAATGATTACAAGGACGAAGAAGAAGACGACGACGATTTATTCGATGAGAAGCCAAAACTTTCTCGTCCAACCTCGAAGCCACCACACTCGCGTCCTGTTGCTGTATCTTCCTCTTCAAGGGTGCCTTCGGCTAATGGAGCTCCTGCTTCAAGTGCACCCCCTAAGCCTATGTTGCCCAGAAAGAGACCACCTGTTGACATATTCAACCGTGGCCCCAAGAAGGTTAGACGTTGAGAGGGTATCATTCTTGGGCGCTGGTGTGCTTTCAACTCGAGATACAAGAGGGGTCGTCGAATTCGAACTCTGTGGAGATTGTTATTGGTAAATGGAGGAGAGGATTTGTATTGTAAGGAGTTAAGGGCAAGGAGGGCATATAGAGGGGAGGCGTTTTGGTTGTAAAGTGAGAAGCTGTATATGCTCTACATATATAGTTGGAGAGAATGTATTCAAAGAATATTCATGTTGTCACCATGCATTGTAGAACTGTGAAAAGGGCCTCAAATCTCATATCTTCATTTATTCATCCCCACATCTCCCCCCACGCTCATCCTCAGTTGTGAAGTGTATCAATTGCGCCGCCCAATTTTTGCTCAGATATCTCCGCCGACAGTATAAGAGAAAGAAGGCGAAAATCCAGGGAGAAAGGAAAATATGTGAAAGTAGTGATCTCTTCGTTCAACGTGAGTCAATGAGCGAACTCATTCACAAGATTGATCAACCAGAGAACATCCTACCCAAATAATCATATATCCAGTCCTGGTCCTGTATGGAAGAGAGATGTTGGTGGTAGGAAGGTAGACGAAGACAGAGTTGGAAGTTTGTATTTGATTTTTGCATTGTGTATTTCAAGAGGTGGCATGGGATGGGTATAGGCAGGCAGACAAAACCAAACTAGACCAGACCAGACACCTAGAGGTTTCCACCACGTAGTGCCAGAACCAAATGTAGGGTTGCGCCTCCCTCTAGGTTGTATTCGCTTGCGGTCTTATCATCAGCCCTGTGGAGGGATACTGTTAGCATGTCTCTTCTGTGATAGCGCATCGTGGTATGGATATATTCCGACGACTTGTGAGGACTGGAGGTATCTCTGCAAATAGTCCGCAGAATGGGACGGAAACGAAATGAATGAAATTTGTTGATAGGAGTGGAAGGTAGCAACATACATTTGTTTTCCACCAAAGATTAACCGTTGCTGAACAGGTGGGATACCCTCCTTCTCCTCAACCTTCTCCTTGATTTGCGATACCTGTACACCACCATCAGCCTTCCCTGCTCTCAAACTGACGCCGATTTAATCCTCTCCCAGCGCAGTTCCTGTGGCAGGTCCATACCTTATAACTAGGCTCAATATCCAGCTCAATCTCCTTCCCTGTCAAAGTTCGGACCCTGCTAGCCATTAGTACTTGTACCTGTCCTCCTTCACACAGATTGCCGACGAGGGATCAAACGTACTTAATAAGCATCTTGACTGCTGTACTGCGTTTCTCAGTTGTAGAATTTGGGATAGGGTGAGATCAACTAGGGGAGTGTATGCGAAAGTGTTTCTGTGCGTGTATGCGTGGTTGAAGATGAGTTCTTGTCGGAGGAGGCAGTGAGGTTGTGTTGATGGTGGGGTGTGCAGCCTTGTAGCCTTTGGGGTTGTTGCAGGGGTATGTAATCTGGTGGCGGGATCTGGCTGATTTTCGGTAATTCCTTGGATTTCTGGGGGGCTACTGGGAATTCACTGGAGTTTTGGAGGGTTGTGAAGGGCCTGGTGATTGGAATTGTTTTGTAAGACACCTTGTTAATAATCTATACAAGCTGTAAGAAATTATTGTGCTAGATATCTAGAAAACTTTACTTAATTATCTTGATATACGTAGGTAAGCAAATAGTAAAAAGTAACAATCATTCTGACCCAGCAACATCTACCTATTTTTAGTTATACAAGGCTTTTAAGATAATATTATTCTAAGTTAGGGGTATAATCTTACAGAGATTTATTAACCGCATCTTCTTACTGGCTAGTGAGTAAGTGGGCTTTTGTTCTTTTTAATACTTGCAAGTGTTAAGCAGAATGTAGTAAGCGAAACTTGCACATTAAGCAGAGATGTTTTCTTTTATGGTGGGTTAGTATTGAGACTTTTTGTTAGAAACAGCTGAGTTAATTACTAAGAGGAGGAATGATTCATGTTATAGCTTTTATTCTAAATGGGTTCAAGACCTAGCTGTTTAGAAGTGTTGGAAGTGTTGAAACCCAACATTTGACAAACAACGAGCCCAGATCCACAAAAATGAGAGACATATCACATAAATAGCCCTCAAAGAAAGAAATAAAAGAAAACATCAAAGTTTTCTTCGCTCTTCGTTGTCATAAAGCTCACAAATTGCTCCCCAAAATAAATCACAAACAAATCATCAGTCATAACTTATGAAACATAAAAATAAAAACAGAAGAGAACTCAACCTCCAATCATCAATCATCAAGCAAACTAGCATAACTTGAAGAATCATCACTATCATAATCCAAATCCTCCTGATCCAACACAATACTCTTCAACGCGGCTCCACGATCCTGCACCAAAACACCATCATAAAGCGTGGAAAAGCTCGCTAAAAAGTCGTTGACTACATTCTCGGTCTCTTGTTGAGTAAGTTCAATCTTGACGACCGGCTTAGTAGCCCAATCATACTTCTTCTTCTTGTTATCGAGGACAACTATCTTTGGGGGTTGTAGTTGTGGTGGCCCTTGGGGTCGTCGGAGTGGTTGGTTTTCCTCTCTTCGAAGGATGATTGCGTATCGCCTGTAATCAATATCATCCATCTTTGGTTTTCTTACCCAGAAGCTGGGCTTCTTCTTCTCGGCGTCTACAAGGGTGGTTACGCATTCAATAGACCAATTGTAACGTTTGAAACCTGGTGTATCGTTTTTGCTGTTGATCATGCTGTAGATTGTCACGTTCACAATTCTTGGGAGGCCTAATAACTTCCCCACCATTTGGCTTTTGAGGTTGGGTTCTTTTGCTTCGGCGTCACGCATGAAGTCTTTGATCTCGTCCTGGGAAATAGGGACTTTGTTGAGGTGAGGTGCCACTTCGTGCTCGTCTTGGGAGGTTTTGGAAAATTCCGAAGAGACGGAAGTTTGATTGTTGCCGTTTGAGCTTGAATGGACCGTTGTAAGCACGATACATCTCGAAGATGACTTCGTCGTCAAGCGGTGGGGTCTCCTTTGCGGTCGAGTTGGTTTTTTCAGTTGAAGTAGATCTGAAGTTTTGTGAGTCTGATGAATACTGGAATTTGTTGGGCACATCAACATACAGTTTCTTATCTGAACCGAGTTTACATTCTGTGGGGTTTTCTTTCGAATTACACAAGGTAGAAGATGATGAGGCATCGTCCGCTTTCTTTCCTTTTTCAGTGTCCTCTTGCTTGGTAATTTGAACAGTATTTGCAGCTCTGATGTTGTCCCGGAGGCTGAAAGACATCAGAGACGCAATCTCGGTATTCCTTAGTCCGCAGAGAATCTTCTTCATCTTCTTTTTCATCTCTGTAAGAAGTGTTCGTTCGGATGGAGTCAAATCTCGTCTATAAAATGTGAGCAAGATCGTCTGTAAATAGGTCGTCAAAGTCCGCTCACCCTTGAGCGGTTTTCTGCAATACAATCAGAGAGACTACACTCATCAACACCCCGGCACCCTGTGCAAGCTCCTGCACATCCTCTTCAAACTTGTCAATCTGCTCGTCATTCATGCCAAGCCCCCACTGCAATCTGTCCCATGGCTTCTTAGGAGGTTCCGCAACCTCACATACATCTTCTCTCGCATCACCGAACCCTTTCTTGTAAGACCGAGCCTTCTCGAGAGCAGCGAGAATGATTTCAAACTTCGATTTGCACTTTTGTGTGAATCCACCAAACTTCTCGTCAAAACTCTCTTTGAAGTACTTGGGATTCTCATTGACCTCTTTGCCGGCCGTGGAGAGAAAATTGCCGATGAATGCAATCTGCGAGGCGAACTCTTCGACCCGGTACTGGTACTTGAAGTGACACAGCCCTACCACTACTTGCTCGGCAGCACTGGCAGCAATCAAAATGAAGGCACCTGGAGAGGAATCCATCGCGAATCTATTGTTTCTTGCGTTTGGTAGACTCAACAGAAGGAGAATATATGTGATTTTGAGAATGGTCTGATGGAAAAGAGGGGTTATCGTGAGGCTGAGAGCTAGGCAGTATATATATTGTCCGTATGCAGGTGGGGTTGGACAGGCCCCCAACAAGCTGGGGCCGACCCATGGAGATGGGTTTTTTTGCTTTTCTTTCATAGTGTCAGACGGCGTAACAGGAAGCCGGCTCATAACGGGCAAGAAAGTGTTGCACTAAATATCTCGCTTATCGTAGTAACCTTTTTTGAAAAAGAGAATATTTCATCTTGCCAATTCTTTCATCAATGGAGCGTCGTAGGACAACGAGAATGATTCTACTACTATATATTCCCGTCGGGGGAGGCTCAGACGCTTGGAAGGTGGTTGAGTGAATAACCTCATTTTATGGCTGCTTGGCGATGTTAGTCACCTCAACCCACTTTTGAGGACGTATAACTAAACCATTCCAGCCTCAATTATTCTAAGAAACAAGAATCAGGAAATCAAAGGCAATGTCGCCTTTCCAAAAAGATGAGGGATTCTTTACCAAAGACTGGACCATTACCCTCCCTTCTAGACCAGAGCCAAACCTGAAATACATTCGCTTGACGCCAAACGAAACAGCTGGATTTGAACGCTTTGTAGAAGAAGCAGCTAGCCGACCGGCCGCGAAATCCTCAAACACTGAAACCTCTCCTGTTGGGCTCAAAGCCTCATTCGAACCCGGAGGCAGAATGCAAAAGATGTACATCGAGTCTCAAACACAACACCACGCCCTTGATGTATTCATCTACCTAGACGACAGATTCGTAGGCTGGGGAGCCATGTACGAGATCACACCCCCCTTCTCGAAGCCGAGTGTTGCAAACATCGGTATCAAGCTACTCCCAGAGGTTCAAGGGAAAGGATTAGGAAAGACACTCATGCAGCTCTTGTTGCGGTTGAGTAATGAGGTAGATGCGGATATCATCGAAGCGGGAACCATGAAGGAGAATGCTTCAATGAGAGCAATCGCGAAGAGCGTCGGCTTAGTTGAGTCGGATAAGATCAATTTCGTTCCTGGACGGGGTGTTGTGGCTGATGTAATGTTTGAGAATATTGAGAGGGAGAGGTGGAGGGATTTTGATATGCTGGTTGAGTTGAGGGAGAAGGTTGTAGAACTTCAAGTTTCGCATCTGAACACACCGCTTCTAGACAATTAGAGGACCGAACGAATAATAACGGATACAATTAGAATGCATCCAGTTTTGTGGATGCAATGCTGAGTTACAAATTGAGGCAGTCCCGTGCTGGCCTCATGGCCGGTATAGTTATAATTCTTGTCACAAGTCACAAGCATGAGTTTTTTGCATCAAGTGGCTCTTGGCTGTTCACAGCTACGTTTTCGGGATGCTTGTGTAAAATGCAGGCCTGTCCAATTCCTGGAAGGTAAGATTTGCCCCTGAACTTTTGTTAGCGGGGAATCGCTATTCCGCTTACGGTATCGAATCCTGCAAGTGCAAGCAAGCAAAACCCCAGCCTCCCCATTTTCAGTTCTCTTATATACACTCAGTAGCAGCTTTTCAGTTCCATTACAAACCGAACGCTTCAACTGAAAGCCATTCAAAAAAGCCCCCTTTCGAATTGATTAGTTGAGCAGCCTCATTTGATGGGGATGCCACCTACCAATGTGGGTAGCCCGAATCCACTTTTGAGAACACACGTCCAACTGACAATACTGAACATGAAAGATAGACCACGACTACCTTAGCCAGTGTCCAGAAAACATCTTCTCTCCACGCCATGTCCAGTACCAGCAGTGAAAGTCGCAGTGCGGCAACCGATTCCTGCGGGTCATATGAGGAATTTGAACTTCAATGCTTAGGGGTGATACCGAGCCTACCAGCCGAGCTCCAAGATCGGATTGTTAAGACCTGTGACACAAGCTCTTTGGTGATTTTGGTTCAACTAAACAAGAGCTGGAATCATAGAGTTACACCACTTCTCTGGGAAAATCTAGATTTTGTTAATGGGTGGGATCAGCCTGATGACGAACCTCCAGAGCGGGTCCACCGCTTCTTCGTGACTTGTTATGACTTAAAAGAAGATCAGCCTGAGCGATGGGCGACTCTGGCACCGTTGGTGCGAACACTGGATCTAGGAAGACTTCATGGCATCAATCTCGTTCGTGACATAGACCCGGAAGATTATACGTGAGAGTATCGTTTCTTTGAGGTCGGACATGAAGGACACGTATTCCAGATTATTGCGGAATTTGTGAATTTGGAAAGTCTCTCGGTATATGTCAAAAGTTGGTGGGGCGGAAGAGTCGAAGGCGCTGCAACACTGGCAAGAGGACTGACCAGATTGAGGTCGCTCAAGGTAGGAGGGCAGTTTCCGGATAATCTGCTTCAAGGACTATTCGTTCACGCCGAGAGTATCGAACATCTTTCGATCTTGAATCTCCATACAACTCCTGGTCAAGACAATGGGCCGGACGGGTTTGCCCTCAATTCAGAAATCTATGCTCGACTTACTCGTTTAAAGAGTTTACATCTGTGTAAACTCGCAGATTTGGATGGATCGATGCCGCAACGAGAGAGATACACATATCTGCAGCAGGATGACGGAGATGAAGAAGTCATTGAATACGAATTTGCATCTGGCATGCCGTGGGAATTTCCTCGCAACTCTGAGGTAGCCGTTCTTAACGCTTGGGCTAAAATGCTCCAGCGGTGCTCTGAGACACTCGAAGAAGTAACTCTGGAGAATCGTTACCTTTGCTGTAACGATCTCAACCCTTCAGCCAGGATCCAGCCAGGCGGAATAGACCCCTTGGAATATGGAGCGTACTCGATCCAACAGAGCCAGGAGATTCTGTTCCCCGTATTCTCATCACAAGACTGGCCAAAACTGAAACGGTTGACTTGGATTGGGATGGGTGAACAGGAAGAGGTTCGTAGAGCAACTTCTTATCCGGACGAGAGGGTTGAGATTGAGGTACATTTGGCTGCCATCCAGCAAATGTACGGCGATGTTACACCCATACAGGTCTCCACCCCAATGGAGTTTCACACCCCGGAGTCTTGGGTGGTTACAAGTACCTCGCATAATTAGGGATACATTAAAACAAAATGACAAAAGGGAAGTATCAGATGGCCATGATTTAATTACCTACCTAGCAGACATAAAATCCAATCCATTTGATATACCCGAGATCACGTGTTTTCGCGTAACGCGCTCAGTTGGGTGCAGGACAATGGAAGTGGGTATATTTTTCTCCCAAACCCACATACCTAGCCACCTTATATACATACCTAGGTACCAGTAGATACTCATATATACACCCGCAAAAATTCTCCCAAAGCCATGATGGCCATCGCTTGACCATATGGCATACTCGTTCGCGGAATGTCCTTATAATGCTGCAATGTATGCCCCATGCCCGTCCCGAAGCTCACCTCCAGCAATTCTCCTTCCGGACTGACGTTTTTCAAGGTCGCCTTGATGGCTCGTATGGCAGACTCTCGAAACTCTTCGCCCTGAAGAAAGCGCATCCTCAGTGCCTTTAGCATGCCAAACGCGAAGCCTGCGGTCGCTGAGGTCTCGACGTACGATCCCTCTGCCAAGGGCTGATCAATCAGCGTTCGCCAGAGCCCGCTGTCTTCCTGGTATTCTAGCAGTCCACGACATTGTGCCTCGAGTGTGTCGATCAGGTGTATGTGGAATGGATCGTTGGCAGGCAGATTGAGTAATTCCAGCATTTCGGGAATGACAATCGTCAACCACGAGTTTCCTCTCGCCCACAACGCTTTGGCGAAGTTGTGACCACCGTCCTCGAAAGTCCATCCGTGGTAGAACAGCCCGGTTTTGGTATCAAAGAGATATTTAATGTGAAGGAGGAACTGCCGTTTTGACTCGTCAACGTAGTGCGGTCGGTTGAGGAGCAGGCCAATTTTTGTGAGGGGAAGCACCGTCATCATCAGGGTGTCATCCCAAAGTTCTTGCGCGTTGATCGAGTTATATGTTTGATGGGACATGCCCCCATACTTGGTTCGGGCAAGCTCATACATGGCATACTCAGCCCAGCTCTCTAACCAAGGTAGGTAGGTTTGGTTGCCCGTCTTTTCATACAGGTATGCCAGCGTAAGCATCGCAGCAACTGTATTGATGTTCTTGGTAGTGCCCCCTTCGGCAAATCGATTTGCAAACCATTCTTCCATCACTTTCAGTGCCTCTTCAGATCCAGTAAGTGCATGGTATCTGTAGAGGCCGTACAATCCGATCCCGTGTGTCCATTCCCAACCTTGCCATCCCTTTGTATCGATCACTCGCCCATCTTCAAGCCGCAGAAGAAATTCCCCAGTCTCGTCCTTGATGTTCACCATATTGTCAATCAAGGAATTGATCGTTTTGTGGACATCCTTGGACGCCACATCATAGGCAACTGGAGGCATAGCGAGTGGAAGTTTTGGAGAATTTTATCTGCTGAGGTTTTTGGAACAGCTTGTACGAAGGATTCCTGATTCAAATTTATCTCTATCTTATTGAATGCCAAAATTTGTAGTTTGTGTTTAGATCCGCATCCCACTCTCTGTGATTCGTGGAAAGTTTCCTGGCTATTGATGCACCGAGACCCAAGCAGGGTTTTGAAGAACCCTTGTCCGCCGGTTAAATTCAATTCACCAATACACAAACCACCCCCACGCTCCCCCATTTCTCACTACAATACCCCGTATTTCAAGGTTCCTGTGCCGCTGCCAATTCCTATCCAACTCCATTTGCGGAGAGGTGTTAAATTGCTTGTTCGTTTGCCGTTGCTTGATACCTTCTCCGCACACGTCACTTACAATGGACAGCATTTCGTCACCGTCTATCACGAATGATGGATTGAAAGCAAACCAAAGCTACTTAGAAAAGCTACCAAGTAGATTTTGAATACCTGCATTACTAGCACATGGCGGCATGGAATGTTCCATTGATCCTTGAGATACATTACCAATGGCATCGACCAACTAGCCATTGAGTGAATGTTTGAGCAGGTCACTCACTTGTTTTGTGACGAAGTTGTGGGGATTCTGGGGTATCAAAGCTTACCCCACAAATTGCCCTCCAAATCTGGGGTTCGTATGGCGGAGAAATGTATTAGCGTGCTTACACGACCTCCCTATCCTAGCAAGAGCATGTGAGGGGAAGATAGAACCCTGGAGCTATATATCCAAGGTCGTACTGAACCCTTCTTCAATTTTATTCGGTCTTATTCACCCACCGTCCTTCTTCTTTGCCCAGTTTGAACCCCTCAACTCCTGCCAGCTTCATAATACCACTACGGCAGTATGGCAGACCAGAAAATTGTCCCTGAGGGAAGGACTGAACATTTCGACAAGTCGGACATTGAACATGTCCATGTTGAATTAGGTGATGATCAGAAGAGAGATCACATTGATTACAATCGTATCGATAAAGAAGTCGCAAAGGTTGGAAACTTCCTGAAGCTTTAATCATATCTTTCATGTTACATCTGATCAGTCAGTATCCTTCTGAAGTATGACTGCTAACTGGTAATAAACAGTATGCTAGCGATGTAGCGATTGAAATATCTCCTTCTGAGAATGCGCGACTGAAAAAGCTCATCGACAAACGGGTATTGACTATAATGGTCTTCACGTATGACACCGTCACTTTTCCAGTCGAATAGATACTAATACGAGTAGATACTTTTTACAGGCATTGGATAAAGGAACACTGAGTTTCGCGAGTATCATGGAATTACCAAAAGACCTCGATCTAGTGGCGCCAAATAAAGCCGTGAAGCAAGAGTTCTCTTGGTTGACTACCTGTATTTACATCGCTGTCCTGACTGTCGAATACCCAACCAATCGGCTTATCCAACGTCTTCCGATTGCCAAGTATCTTGGTATTTCCATCATATTATGGGGTACAACTCTCGCTCTCCATGCTGTGTCGAAGAATTTCGTTACGATTCTGGTTCTTCGAACTCTTCTGGGGATTTTTGAGGCTGTTTGCCAGCCTGCTTTCGTCGTCTTGAGTAGCATGTGGTATAAACGGGAAGAACAAGCTGCTACAGTTACCTATTGGTATATGTGAGTAATCCTTTTTTGAAAAGTGCCCCTAAACACTTCACTGCGTCCCAATTAGAGCTGATTGTTATAAGGATGAACGGCATGCAACAGATTGTCGGAGGACTTCTAGCCTACTGTTTTACCTTCATCAGGACGCCCACTTCAGAAAAACCCGGTAACGCAACAATCAAACCGTGGCAGGCACTTTTCATCACATATGGTGGCTTTTCCGTACTTTGGGGCTGTGTAGTGCTTTACTGGATGCCTGATAGCCCAATGAGAGCAAAGTGCTTTAGCGAAGAAGACAAGAAACTTATGGTCGAGAGAGTGCGTAGCAACCAGACTGGCGTTCAGAATCGAAAGTTCAGAAAAGAGCAGTTTTGGGAAGCCCTTGGCGATCCCCAGATGTGGTGCTATTGTGCCGTGGCTATCTGCACGACCTTACCAACCTCTGGACTTGGAGCATTTGCGAATATCATCATCAAAGGATTCCATTTCAGTACCTTGGAAACGCAATTGCTGGCTATGGTTCTGGGAGCTTATATCATCCTTGTGCTCCTGAGTAGTAATTGGCTTATCAAGAAAACCGGACAGAATATCTTGGTTATGGGATGTTACGTTATCCCGTAAGTCCTCTCTTTCTCCTAATCTCCTGTAGCCAGGAAGCTAACTCGGCAAAGTTCCTTCGTCGGTACAATCGTATTGCTGACCGTCAAGAATACAAATAAAGCCAGTCAAGCAGGCCTCCTCTTCTCCTACTACCTCGTCCTCAGTTTCTGGGCCGCCCAAACCGTAGCAATGAGTCTGCTAAGCCGTAACGTCGCGGGCCAAACCAAAAAGAGTGTCGTGATCGCTGCAAACTTCATTTCCTGGGCCACAGGAAACGCTATTGGTACCCCTTCCCCCTCCCCTCTCTTGTCATTACTAACTAACTCTTGCTACCCAGGCCCCCAAGTCTTCCTCACCTGGAACGCACCACGCTACTTCATCGCCTTCGCGGTCCACATGGGCTGTTACATCGTCCTCGTCTTCGTCCTGATCTTTCTGCGTTTCTGGCTCAAGGCCCAGAATGCGAAGAAGGATCGGATTCAGGCGGAGTTGGCGAGCCAGCCTGGTGTGGTGGATTCGGGTCTCGTGCATGCTTTTGATGACTTGACGGATCGGGAGAATTTGAATTTTAGATATGTGTATTGATTTGGAGTGAGGTGTTGTTTTTATAGAGGGTTGGAGGGGACTAGGAAAGAGGGAAATGAAGATATTTATTGCAATTTTCTTTTGTGATGTGCGGTGTGAATGCCTGTGAATCGTGATATATAGGCCATTTTATTTTTCTTGTGCCAATTCTCGTTGTTTTTCTGGAGTTGATATTGGTACTGTATCCTTCGATATTCTAAGGTGCTATTCGAGATAGAACGATAGGTTTATTCCCGGAAATAAAATGCTGGTCAGGTAGGAGGAGGGGTTGGCGATTGGTTCTAAACTTCGCTCTCGCATTCAAGATGAGGGTTTAAGTAAGTACAGTGTTAAGCGAGCCATCTTCTTTTACCTCTTTGTTGCTTGTTATAACAACTTCTCATTAACTGAATACGCAAAAAAGAATCCAAATGTACAGAATCAATCGTTTTAGATCTCTAGCCAATACTTTGTTCAGCCATCTTCAAGCCTCTCGGTGTTCTCATCTTCAAGACTCAGTTTCAAGAATGACTGTGGTATATCCTCCGAAGCGTCAACTCCCCCTTCCCTGTGTTCTACGTCTCGCTGAAAACTTCATTCTACATGTTCATCCTCTAGAATTTTAGGCACAAGACTCCACATGAGACCCATTGCTACGATCAAGCCAGCTACAATAGGCGGGAGGACTTTGACACCCGCTTGACTAGCGATCAAGCCAATTAACGAAGGGAAAATAGCGGCTCCTGCTTGGGCGACAACGAATATCATTCCTGGAGACTGTGTTAATTCCGTCTTTTTGCAGCTTGATTTGGTGGGAAAGGAAAGGAGGTAGAAAGAGAGTTGGGACTTACCAAGAGCAGCAGGCTGAATTTTGGAAGGGAAGAGTTTGGAAGCCACCGACATTCCCTAGTCACATTAGTAATAACACTCCAACAACCTTTTTCGTAGATTGAAAATTTTGTTCTAAAACGCTCAATCTCTCTTACTCTCGTTTGACAAGCTAAAATTCCCTCCATGGAGACTCCTCCAGGGAAACCTCCGATTTCGCCCACGCCCGTTGGAAGGGGCCTGAAAAAGGGGGGAGTACGCCCGATGCCCCCACTACCCAATATACAGCAGCACTTCGTTTCTGGAACCACCAAAGCTCTAGAACGTGGTGCTATAGGCCAAATCTTCTTTGGAGGTACCGCGGAAGCCGTTGACCACCACCTAAACACTGCTCTTGATAGGGCTCCCCCGGAACTCTTGCCCTACCTCAGGGCCTTTTGCACTCAGGTGGCCGACCTTAGCTTAGCTTTCCACCGAACATACACCTCAGGGACCCCGCCTCCACTAC